TACAGGCCTGAGGGAGGCCCAAAAGGTTAGCTTAAGCAAGCATCACCTGAAAGCAAAATACATGGAAAGGCTAATAAGCCAAACAAGCCCCAAAAAAGATAAGAAGGCCAATTTTCATTGAGCCCAAAAGCAGAGATTTAGGCGTAGTAACTTTTTTTTTTTTTCCCTTGCCAAGAAACTCACGCTTCCATTTGTCCCTACGGGGACTTAAACCCTTACCATCCACTTTGGAAGGTAGTGGAGATGTGTAATAGGTGGGTGCTTGCTCATTTATCCAAAAGGTTAAGCTATTAATGGGTGGCCCCCATCCATTTACGCCCATTTCACTTTCCATTTGGATCCGATGTGGGACAAGTACCCCTTGTAACATTCTTCCCCACTCGAACTCGCAACGCCTTCGTTATGGTCGGGCCACCTTGCCTACCCAGGTGATTCACCCAGATGCCTTCCGAGCTGGGCGCTTGATGGGTCACTGGATCAAGGATTGGATCTGGCGCTGATACCAACTGTAATGGGTGAGTGCTTGCCCATTTACCAAAAAACTTAAGTTATTAGGTTGTGCTACATACCCACCCATTTATACCCATTTCACTTCCCATCTGGATCCGATGTAGGACAAGTACCCTTGTAACAAGATGTCACTAGGCTACAATGCCCTTGGTTTTAACATTGTAACTGAAAAAAAAAAAAAAAAAAGGATAAGAAAATTTTCAGTCTGTATCCAGTGAACACACAAGGAGGAGCAAGAGGGGCTTCAGAAGTCCTAATGGGTGATATCCGGGGGTCGAGGAGGTGGACAAGGCAATCGAGGGGACGCCCAAGTTGATTAGAGCTCGTCGGATTTCAATGCTGAATTTGAGGCTACCTGTGTATGATGACATTGATATGCTCGAATGTTTTTTTTTTGTGTTTTATATGGTTACTTTTTGTTTATTTTATTGTTAAATGTATTTGTGGTTGTAATTAAGTCAAAAGTAGAAATTAGTGAAAATTTTCAATAAACAACTTAAATTTAATTCACAAGCCTTTATGCATAACTAAATTACCTAACCAACGGGCTAGTGGCCTAGCGGTATCAGGCCCCTACTTCTCAAAGAGAGTTCAGGAGTTCGAGCCTCAGTGGAGGCATGTGTGTGTGAGTACCAACTAAAGAAAAAAAAAAAGAACTAAATTACCTTTAGATATTCAGCGTATGCATTAAAAATCATTTGTTGTATTATGAATTTAAAAGTTGCTTAATTTTGCATTGGTACAAGGTGTGCGAGGTTGAAAAAGATCATGATTGCGATGTCCATGATCGTTACATATCCCCATCATATCCCGATTCTGTGACAATGGGTGTGTCCACTATTTGGAACTTTTCTTGTTATTGTTTTATTTCTTTTATTAAGCATGTGGATATCTTTTCTAAAACCATTCTTGGTGTGAGGACATAGGACTAACTTGGGCATTCGGTTTGAGCTCCTGGCATCCTGGTCTGGTTTTTGACAGGGTGGGGTGTGGGAATGAGAATCCTTGGCATTTTGTATAGTTTCTTTTCTTTTTTTTTTTTTTTTTTTTTTTTGTGATAAGTGGCGTTTTTTATAGTTGGTGGTGGTGATTGTATTTCCCGGGACACCTAGAACAACCCATAGTCAATGTTGAAGCAGAAAACTGAGCTCTAGCTTCCTTATCTGCCAAGATCACTCAATTATCCTTTCTATTATATATTGATCACTCTCAACATCAATAATTATCTGTGGTAGAATTTCCACTTTAGACATGATACCCCCTCTTTCCATTGTGCACCACCAAGCACATCAACATAAAATTTTGTTTTGCATGAATAAATCCGACAACTCAAATGACCATCTTATTATTATTATTTTGTTTCTTTGGTTGACTAAGCTCTAAACATTTTCACCAATCCATTAGTTCTCGCTGATTTGATGACTTAGAACCAAGCTGATCATAGCTTTGAGCCCATACACGGTTTTGAGTCGGTGTGTAGTAGTTCAGTCTTTTGAACTTAGAATACCAGTTAGGGTGAGAGTGTGGGAGTGACCATTTTGGAGTCCCAAGAAATGTAGAGCACCTCCTCATGTGCTTGCATTTAAAATATATTTACTTATGTCTATGTTAGGAGTGACCATTTTGGGAATACCATGAAATGTAGAGCACCTCCTCATGTGTTTGCATTTAAAAATATATTTATCTATATCTATGTTCCTGAACCGGGATATCTATGGACTGGAGGGAAAAGCACCTCCCTATTATGTAGGTTAGGTATCCCAGCTCTCGATCTCACAACTATCTCGTTCCACCAACCACATTGTCTAGCTTAGAAAACCACAAAGAAGAAAATATCTCAAATTCAAGGTCACAATCACCTTATTTATTTATTTATTATTATTTTTTTTTTTTATGTGACTGGCCAAATTTAGTACGATTCTATCCCGCATCTTTCTGTAGTTGATTGTAATACTTTAATTTATTTCCTTATTCTTCAGGGGATAGTTCTTGGTTTCCTTAAAATTTACCCTTCTTTATATTATATACATTCTTATACATTAGAATGTGATTTCTTCCAATGTTAAAAGTTCAGGGAATTGTAATCCTTTGTGTGCATTGTATTCAGTTTGAACAACTCTATTTTATGTCAAACTGCTGCATGTAGGATGCTCATTCCACATTGATAGTTTATGAAGGTGAAACTCCTTGCAAGTGTTAGGTAATAGGTTTTTTCATTTAATTCTTTTTTGTAAATTGTGCATGGTGCTTTATCGACATGTTATTTGTGGAAGGCACTTAAAGTGATGAAAGTATTCCCTTGTTGGGTTAGAGTGGCTGAGGAAGACCATTGTTGTACCAAATCCTACACTGTTGCTTGTGAAATCCCATCCCCACCCCTATCCTGTAACTCCCTTTTAACCTTGCTCAATTCCCATGCCAATAAGCACAGGATGTGGCTTACTTGTTTATCCGTCCCTGCTTTCTTGCCTCCTTTACATTCATATCTCTCAGCAGAGCTTTGAATTACATTAACAGGAACTTAATAATCACAATTAGGTTTTAGATTATTCAAAACTTGTGGGGAATTCGTTGTCCAAATTTGAAAAACATTGAAATTGTAAGTAAGAACATTGGAACCAATGATTTAGTTGTTAATAAATCACAGTTCACTATATTTGTTGAATGCAAGCACATGGTAGAACCTGAATTACTACACTTACCCTTTTTCTGTTACTACAACAAAAATGTTTTTCTTTTTCCCTTTGGATGGGGTTGTGCATGAAGGGGGGACCGGTCATTAAAATCTGGGAACCTTCATGACTTCTACATATTATAAAAAATTTTCTCGCGTTGTTAACAAGTGCACGGATCTAGCAGTTATATTTTAAAAATGTCATATTTAAATCTAATTTTGAATGTTGATTTGAACAAACGAATCTTTAACTCTTAAATGGGCCTCATAAATAATCTGGAAAGTATCTTAGAGATTTTTACATTAATGGATGACAGTGTCATTTCCTCTTTTTTCTTTACGTCATAAATCATTGCTGCAATTTTGAGTTATTGCATTTTAAAGAAAAATTAAATTCCCTTTCTTACCCTAGCTTTTTGAGTGCATCATGGTGCTGTTTTGAGATCTTTTATCAATCTATTCTTATAGGTTTATAAGGAAGTATTGCATTACTGAAAATATATTACAGAATACATAATTCTTATATTCTATAATACAGTGTTGAGAAGGTTCCAAAATATATTTTATTCTGATTTTGCTATATATCACTTGCTTTCATTTCCTTCTCTTAGCATTTTTAATAAGTTCCACATCGTAGTCTGTGAGATAAAGGACCACCTATATATATTACATTGTATGGAGAGCATAATGGAAATACTGGTTGTTCATGCAGTTTAAGGTGTTTATGTATTAAGACATTTTGTAAATATCTTCATTGATTTCAAAATGCAAGTCCCTTAACATTTCTTATATTGTGTCGTAAAGGAACTGTCAATGATGAATGAACAGAGTTTTTCTGTTATAATTTACCATGAGGATCCATCGTATAAATACACACACAGAGCATGTGTAATGCATAAGCCTGTTTCTTTCCTCTCTTTTTTCCCCAATTTCTTTCCTTTTTCCTCTTCTTATAGTGTACAATTGATCAATACTTCTGATTTTATTATAATAATTTTTTGGTAAGGACTTCTGGATTGATTTATGGATCAGGACATTCTATGCACACATGCATAAGAATCAAGGTAGGCATTATTATTATTATTTTTATTATTATTATGGGTAACTTTAGAAACCAAACTAAGGATATCTGCTGGATGTTTCATCATGTACATTCAAAATGAAGTTTTACATTTCCCTCCAATAACATTAGCATTCCTGTTCACATATTAACTTTGTTCTAGTAGGCAGGCAGTGGTCTGCACCTATATTCAGTGAACTTGGATGAGTGTTGGGTGCAGCAGTGTGTCAAAATGTTGGGTTCAGTCGCTGCCAAAATATTTGCTATTAGTTGTACTTGTCAAGGTTGGGCCCGCAAACCGGTCTTGTATAATTGTTTGTTGTCCATATCGGTGTTCGAGAGTACAGAGCTAGGTAACAAAGGTGTGCACATTGTTGCAGGCTATGTTTGGAAACTGATTGTGAACACTGGAATCAGTTTGCTGTTATCTAGTTAACTACTATTCAAAATAGTTTATTTGTAGAAAGTGCTCAGTATCTGCTTCGTAGTAAGTTTTTGAAAGCATATATCATAACTGATAATTGAATTAAATATTTAGTTGAAGATTTCCACTGTCATTTAATAGTCCCATCATTCATGTTGTATGATTTTATTGAATACTTATTAAAATGCTTGTGACTTGTGAGATACTTTATCCTGAATTATTTGTTTCCATTGTTTTTTCTTTCAGTTCCCCATTTTCAAGTAGAATTATGTCAGTTCCCATTTTTGTCAATACCAACAGTATTTTCTTCTTGTTCTTTTATGATTCTCCAGGAACCATTGATTGTACCATCTGAAGAAAGTCCAGTTCCTTCTCAGTGTCCCATTACTGAACCACACTCTCCAGCAAGCTCCAAGGAGGTTGATCGTCTGAGTCCAGTTTCAGTTCTGGAAGTCCCTTTTACAGAGGATGTATCGTCCAGTTCTGAATGCTCGAGAGTTGTTGCTGATGTATCGTCTGGTGGTTCTGAATGCTTTGAGAGAGTTGTTGCTGACCTTCACGGTAACTATGAAGCTTTTTAGTGTATTTACTCTGGTACTTTTAGATCTCTTGGAATTGAAGTCGTTGTGTCCCGTCTTATTTTTCTTTCTATCTGAGAACATGATGGCTTGCTACATAAAGGAGATTGAGAACATGGTATGATAAAATCATAACAAAAATATGACGTAAATTGAAAGATTATAAAATAATGAAGAGATGCATTTGAAACAGGCAGGCTCCATCCAATACAGCAGACTAATTTATACCCACCTCCCTTCAAATCTCAATAGAGCAACCTAAAATGGAGCGCAAAAGGGCTTCTGCACAGCAAATCTTTTATCTTTATTTTAGTTTTTTGAGCACATATTCTCTTACATATATATAGCCATGACATATTTCTCACAACTCCAAGCTTTGGGTTCCTAAAGACTGAATTAGCAGATAAAAGAAGGGGGGCTTCTTTAATGGTTATGAGACCCAAGCTGAGGGGAGTTGTATCCACTCCATTGCAAGCATCAGTCGTTAGCATAGAAATGCATTATGCCAACTATTTGTCGTCTCCTCAACAAGTCCTTTCTGTAGCCTACTTATCAATGCTTTGAAAACTATTTGTCATCTCCTCGCATTGCCGCTTATCCATTTCAACATTCATGTTGGAATTAAATGTTTTTCTTGTCAATCTACTCATCTATTTTAATCTCTGTATTTCAACTACTCATTTTATGACTTGTTTTTTGTTTTTTTCATTTTGCTCCCCTTCTGAAGGAATGATTCTACCAATCATTTAATTTATTTTTGCTTCTAAATTACCTGTTTGTCTTTTTTTTTTTTTTTTTTCCTCTAATTCAAATTACCTGTTTATCTGCTTTAATATATCTGTATCTTCTTTGTTCTTGCTAGGGCTTCGAGAGCAACTTAAGCTTCTCAAGATGGAGACAGAAACATATGCAGAAGGGCCCATGTTTATGTCAAGTAACGAAGATCTTGGGGAAGGGTTTATTGCAGTCTCTGAGGATAAGGAAATGTATATAGAGGAGAGCTGGGAAGCTTCCTACCTAGTTGATGTGTTAATTGACTCAGGTTTCAATGAAACCGATGCTGATACGTTCATGGCAACATGGCACTCTCCCGATTGGCCCCTGGGTCCCGGGATATTTGACAATCTTGAGAAGAAATATTGCGACGACGAGACAACTTGGTCGAAGTCTGATAGGAGGCTGCTATTTGACCGTATAAATTCTGCACTCTTGGAGATTTCCCAGCTTATCATGGATCCACACCCATGGGTGAAGCCAGTAAAATTGAGGGTTGGTTCAAAGTGGCAGACAGACAGGATCAAGAACGAGCTGCAAAAGTTGCTGGAATGCCAAGAAAAGAGCGCGGATGAGGACATGTGGGAGAAGGTGCTGGAGGGGGAGTCACAGTGGTTGTATTTGGGAGATGAGATCGATGCAACAGGTAAGGAAATTGAGAGGTTGGTGTTAGATGATCTAATAGCTGAGGTTTTAACAATGTAGAGTTTTTGTACCAGAAAATGCTAGGCATTTACATAGACAGATGAGGTGATGCAATGGTTGGTTTAGAAGATAATGAATAAGACTAAAGTACCAAATCCTTACAACCAAAGAAATTTCTAATGATACTTAAATTGAAACATAAATTGATGGGCACTGGAACATAGTTGTATGTGGAGTTACAGATTTGAGTTTTAGAATGATGGATGAAACACAGGAGATACACATTATGACCCAACTTGTGAACCATTTTAACTTTTTAGGGATTTGGATCCAGGTTTTGCTTTTGTGGTGTGGTCTAAGCAGCCCTACGCAAGGGTTAAGCTAGTTTGGGCCTTGGAGTCGTACATGGTTCTTCGGCTTGAGTTGCTTTTCTCTCAAGTTATTATTTTACTTAAATTGGGTTCTATTATGTATTATTCAATCCAGCCAGAGGAAGACCCGAATCCTTTCGGTGGAACAGTAGGACCCATTCCATCCAGCGGGATGCACTTCACATTGGAATATTTAGCAAATGTCTCACAACCTTTTTATAAAGTACATCTCGAACAGGACCGGAATAAGGTGTAAAGTTCACACGAGGAAATTTTCTTCCGTTGCCCCCAACTGTCATATTAAACTTTGGAAAAAATTTGTACGTCCTTTTATTCTCACTCCGCCGCCCTACAAGTACAATCTCTCTCCATCTCCTCACCACCGCCCTATTCTCTCTCCACCATCGACCATCATATATTTCTCCCCACAACCATAGCCACCACCATGGTATCCACCGCAATCTCTGAACTTCATGAATCTGAAACCCCTATATTTGCCAATCTCACGATAATTGATGATATAACCAAAACCAAACCACACGAACCAACAAATGCACTAACATTCAATTGGAGCAATGAAATTTCAAGGCCACAAAAGCACCATCACCAATTATACATACACACTGATATTTGGTGAAATCTTTTCAATTTATGCATACACAGCAAATATAGTAGCCACTGATATATGCATTAATGATTAGAACCTTGCCAGAATTAAATCCAATTTTATTCAAAATGATCTAATTCACAAACACAATGTAGAAAGAAATCTACCAATGGGAAACAAATATTCCAATGCAATGAATACTCACTATTTGTCTTGGTAATCATCCATTTGCTAAACAAAGAAAAAGAGGAATACTTTGTTCATGCAGTTGAGAACTAGAACGATATCAAGAGCGTATGTTCATAGTTTTATATCTAAAAGCGTAGAACAATTCACAAACCGACCTTAGCTCAGTTGGTAGAGCGGAGGACTGTAGTGGTGAATGCCTAACGGCAATCCTTAGGTCGCTGGTTCGAATCCGGCAGGTCGGATTTTTTTCGTTTTTGGTCCGATTTTTTCTTTCTTTCTTTTTTTTTTTTTTTTTTTAATTCCCAATGCATAAAATTGGCAGTACCATTCGCATCAAATCCCAACGGCACCGTGGCAAAATCCAGAGAGTAGGTTCAAATTACATAAATTAGTCCAATAGAGAGCTGCATTTTCTTCCGTTTCTATCAATAAGAATTATTCCTCAAAATAACTCCACCTTTATCTGCCTTATTATCACTTCCAAATTATTCAGATATTTATATTGATATTTTGTTTAATCATTATCCAGAAAATCAAAATCATAAAAATAAATAAATTAAATAAGTACAGCTTTTTGAATATTCCCTACGTCACACAATTCTTCTCAAGGAGTGTCGCTCTTACACTCTGAGCGCGCTTCCGCTCTCACGCTACGTACGCGTTTCGCTCAAATTCTCACTGTTTATGACTTACTTCTGTCGCTCTTACGCTCACGCTCCTACTCTCGAATTCGCTCTCACGCCCGCTTTATGTGACTTAATGTATTCCTATCTGTTATTGTTATTATGAATAACGGTTTGTATTTAATGAAATCTCTCAAAATTTTGTATGAGTTTGGCATCACCTGCTCAAAATATGTATATAGATGATATAAAGTTATAAACAACACCACGGTGCAATCGGAAACTCATTATCTAAACCATCTGAATATGATATAAGAAAAAGGAATATACTTTTGAATTAACATAATTTAGGTTATGTTTAGCAGCATGGAATTAGAGCTTTGGTATTGGTAGAATTGAAATTGAATCAAAATATTTTTCAATTCCACCAATTCCAAGACTCTAATTCCAATTCTAATTCCAATTATTAGACCCCAAATCCATACCGCCAAACATAACCTTGAGGAAATTCAAAACAATCTGTTGTGAAAAACACAGGCACTCGGTACAAAATCAAGGTGCCACTAGCTTTGAGAATAGGCAAGAGTTTTATCATTTTTAATAACGAGTTCTAAGGTCCAAGAGACACTTTAGTTCTCTGTAAATTAAATAAAAATAACACCCACTTGTCTCAATCCACAATCAAGAGAGAACCACATGTAAATGACCCCTTCACTCCCTTCTAGACTACACAGATTCTGGTTTTGCTACCCATCACCTACACTAAATTAAACATTTCATCCACACCTCATTGCAAGAAATCATATTGTTTTCTATTTATGTACCACTTGAATGATTAAGCATTTCATACACACCCCCTTACTTGAAATTGAACTGTTCTGAATCACTTAGGTTGATCTAGAAAACAGATTACTTTAATCTTTCCCAGAAGCAACAACATTACACAAGAATGTTAACTAAACAAGTTATATCAGATGGAAACATTGCAGAAGGCAATATAGACAGTTTTTAAAATTAGAACAGACCGTATTTTACTTTGTAGTATCAGAAACCGTTCATTCGGTACAGCCATTTCACCATATAACAAAACAGTGCCTGAAGAGGGGGGAAGGGGTGAAGACGAAATGAATTCCCTGTCAAAAGCACAAATGTAGATGTTTTATTTCATTTTCTATATATATATTTTTTTCCCGTTGGTTGCAAAAATGTGGAGAAATAACAGAAATATCTTCTTACAAATGCAGCATATTGCTGAAATTTTCCAGGTAATGTAAATAAATGAGAATGATTATAGCAGAAACTCGAGATGTGAGGGAACGATAGTACCAATTCAAGATATAGTTAAAAAAAATATTCAAGATACACAATGTGCTTTTAACTCTATACATACTGATTTGATTGTCATCCTTACTAGTGCCCTTTGCCTTCATCTTCATTTAAGATGCGATTTTGAAAATCAGTCACCATGAGAGGCAGCCCTTCTCGCAAGGATACTTTGGGCTCCCAGTTCAGCAGCTCCTTTGCTTTGCTAATATCTGGTTTCCTCATATGTGGATCATCAGCAGTGTTTTCTCTGAATTCTATTCTCGCACTAGAATCAATTGTTTCTTTAACAACCTGTATGAGGAGGAAAGAAATTGTAGGCATGCCTGAATGTAAAAATGCTGAGCAGACACAATAATTAGAAAAATCACTTAATAATGAAATAACTCTCAATCTATTAGTAATAATCTAAGGAATGACAAACCTCAGCGAGCTCCAACATGGTGAACTCCCCTGGGTTACCCAAGTTGAAAGGTCCTGCATGCTCTCCTTCCATTAATGACATCAGTCCATCAACCTGACATTGAGAAAAGTTTATGAAGCTCTCTTTAATATCATTTCTCGGTCAATCTCTTTTCAATACCAAAACTATTCTATGAAGTGTTTGAACCCTTGGAGAAACTGATGTTGGTACTTGGTAGAATTGCCAACACCACAGCTAGCCCATCCCTATAGTAAATTAATATTCTTTTCTTCTTATTCTACTTGAATTCTAATATTACATTACAGACCCACATCATTGCCAAGGTCCATCACAACAGACTAAGATTCATTTTGGTAGAGACTATCTCGCAAGCACAACACAGGATCATACTGATAGCAAATGAATGTGTACAGGATTGCAAGATTCATGGTCAACACATATCTTGAGAAGGCTATCACATGGACAAGACAACCAACCATCTAGTATTACAAAATAGAGGTCTAGAAAAAATTAGTGCAATAGATGCAGGGGTGTATTATAATCAATGGAACTCCTACAAGCTATAATGATTCTAGAGGTCTTAGTTGAGGTGATCCCTTCTCTACCTTTCTTCAGCATTGACCACTGTCACAATCTTTCGAGTTTCATGGTAATTAGGGGAAGAAGTCAGGATACTTTAATTTTCCATGTGCCAATTCAAGCAAAAGGTTAAGGCCTCAAGGGTAGTTCACATGTACAACAGTCTTTGGTAGGATAAATAACTCTTCACCACAGTATAGTAGCATAGGTTTAGTCTAACTGCAGTGTATTTTCTCGCACATTGCTGTGCACCTTTTTCACCTGTTTTCTATATATTGTCAAGTTTCTTTCCCAGCCAAGCTTGTTTGCTAGGGGCCTACAAATGTCAATTTTCTTTTCTTAATTTTTATTTTTTATTTTGTGGTGGCTAGAGGGATTTCCCCACCTTTTGGGTGAGACAAATTCCCTTTGGACACATAGCAGACCAACATCATGGGCCAATTTTAATCCAGGGAAAAGCCTTGTGAGGCAGGCCTCGGGAAGGAAATCAAACTCAAGACCTCCACTTTATAAGTGTAGTTCTTAACCGACTATTCCACCCCCTTGGGGGGTTAAGAATGAATGTTAGTTCTCGAGGACAACATTACTAAAATCATCAGAATTAACAGGATGAATTTAATGCAAAATGCCCCAAAGTAGCAAGTTATACTAAAAAAGGTTCTGGTTGTCATCTACCCATTTCTTGCATTTTTGCTAATCACTCAGTTAAAGGAAAATGGAAAATGAAGAAGGTTAGCCATTCAGCATGCTTAATAGTTTTTAAAGTTGATTATTAGGATAATAATGAGTTGATAAGATTACCCTCTTTCAAAAACTGTCATTTGGTAATCAGTGCTTTACATATGCAAAATCATTAGGATGAGCATTTTTAAACTCATGTACATGCGCAAACATTTTCAATCAACATTATAATACTCCATTAAACACATATGTGTGTGTGCGCGCGCGTGCGCATGCTTGTGTGAGTTTCTCAAGTTACTCAAAGTTTTTAATCCTTTATTTACATTGTTGCTGGGTTAGCAGAGGTTTTGAGCATGCCATGTGAATATTATATCACACTAAAAAAACAAAGCTCAAAGGAAAAGGAAGCAGACATCAAATTAATGCATTATCAACAGGCATCTAAAAAAGTTCCCCGGGAAAAACACTAGCAGGTAACGTAAAATACTTTTCTCAGAAAAGAATTTTCTGTTTTAGGTAAATTCTTTTTTATTTTTATTTTTTCGGTGTTTGACAAAGGTCTAAGTTGAGGTTGAGGTTAAGTCCATCGGGTGGGGCGTGTAATATGATTTGGCAAAAATTGATGGGTAAGTTATTTTTGCTAAGTTTTAATAATTTTTTTCTTCGTAAATATTTTATGATAACCAAACAACAAAAAATAAAAATAAAAAATTTGAAAAATATTTTACATCCAAATAAACGTTGCCGTAAGGAAAAATAACAGAAATTAACATGGCATACCAAGTCAGAGACATATTGGAAGCTTCGTGTTTGTTTTCCATCACCATATACAGTCAGTGGTTGTTTGCGAATGGCCTGCAATGCATAGCTATGACAGTAAAAATCCTTCTGAAAGAAAACTTTTCTATAACGGTCTTAAAGTAAAAAATTCAGTGCATTGTCAATTGTCAAGAGTGTAAGGAATATCAGTCAGGAGACCAAACCTGTGCAACAAAGTTGCTGACAACACGTCCATCATCTAGACACATGCGAGGACCATATGTATTGAAAATACGTGCAATGCGCACCTGAAAAGAAGAAGCACTACGATTACTCCTATTAATGCTTTATACCCCACATTTTGGGATATTTAGAAGTTGCATGAGTACCTTTCAGGAAAAAAGAATAAATCCAAGAAACACTACATTCATTATCTCATAAAATTTAGGAACTACTTCAGTACCTCAGCCTAAAATTTAACTAATTAATTATTTTATGTGCAACCATCAAAATAAAAATTCTCAAATTGTTATCAAGATATCAAAAATTAATTCCGTGCAATCAAATTCCAGGATTTTATCCCTTCTAACCTAACAACTCCAATAACACTCACATTAATATCAACAACAGCAAAAAAAATCATTAATTTGAGCAGCATATCCATCCTCATGAGTGCTGCTTTCCCCCAAATTCCAGGTTTGGTCTTTCCCACCTACTTATAAAATTACTTTATTTGCTAACAAATTGAAGAATGGTCTCTGCTTAAATAATCCAAAACCACATATAATATTTACTATGCTGAAAAAATGAAAATGTGACAACTGCTTATGGACAACAGAAACAGTATTGGCATGCCATTTCTGCAGAAGAAAGCTTGGGTGATTGATGAACATCTGCCTGCCCTCCACAATTATACTCTATTGACCATGAAAAACCAAACTCTATAAGAAGCCACAAGCCTTGGAGGACATTAAAATACAAAGTGACATGTTGTAAACTAATATAACTTTCTGTTAGCATATCTCTAGAAATAAAACATACAAATGCACAATTCAATTTGGGTACAGATGTTTTTTTTTTTTTTTCCCCAAGCATGGGGTATATATGTTATATATGGCTCTTTTTGGAAAAGTAACATGAATGAAGGGGATTTCCATAAATAATCATACTCAGTCATCATGTGGGCCATTAAAAATAAACTCTATAAATGAAAGCATATCATGTGGTTAGTGAAATTTGACTGCTATTGAGCAAAAATAACAACAAAAGAAGAATCAACTTTGATGTGCACATACTGCATGGCCAGGAATTGGATGCAGGTACAAATGCCATAACTTTATGTCCTCAAAACCTAGTAAGATATTTGATCATCTACAATTATACTCACGCTACAAGAAAAGGAAAGTTTTAGGCAGGAATGACAAATAGCATAGACACTATAAATTGTGGTAACATTGAGTCCAGCCTTCCACAACAATCCATGTATAAGCAAATATGACTGAGAATCTATTACCTCAACCCCTGCACCTCGATGATAATCCATTGTTAACGTTTCAGCCGTTCGTTTCCCTTCATCATAGCAGCTCCTCACACCTAAATGTTTAATGTAAGTACTTTGGCATTATCCATACCATGGAAAGTTTGAAACACATGGAACCAAAAGTTCGACTTCATGAAAGCAAAATAATATGGTACATAGCACCTCACCTATTGGATTAACATTTCCCCAATATGTCTCCTTTTGTGGATGCTCAAGTGGATCCCCATAAACCTCACTTGTACTAGTGAGCAAAAACCTAGCCCCAATTCTTTTTGCAAGTCCCAACATGTTGAGGGTACCCATCACATTTGTCTTGTAATCACAGTCAAGGATCTCAAACAATTCAAATTCCAGTGAGCAAAAATAAACCTACATACATATACATATATATACATAGATATAGATATATATTTATATCATTAAAACTATACAATTAACAAAGAGCTAAAACTATGTATCAGAATTCACAACCATTATAAGAGCAAAAACATGCATACATGCATACATATACACACACACACATATATATATATAAAACATAAAATTATAAAATTTAACAAAGAGCTAAAACAATGTATCAGAAGTCACAATCATTACAACAATCAACAAGGATATGATAGTCTTGACAGGATTGTACTTGTAATGAACCGGTGAAGCAGGGCAAGCCAAGTGATAGATCTGATCCACCTCCAACAATATGGGTTCAACAACATCATGCCTAATAAGCTCAAACCTGGGATTCTGAAAATGGTGCATCACATTCTCTTTCCTCCCAGTAAAGAAATTATCAATCACAATCACATCATCTCCTCTAGCAATCAACTTATCAACCAAATGACTACCCACAAATCCAGCTCCGCCAGTCACCACAATTCTCATCCGTCTCCGTGGGATCCCCACCGGCACTCTTCCGTTGACCTTGTCAGTTCCATAATCCTTGGAACTGCGAAATGGGTTCGACACAGAATCACGCTTTGTGACAGAAAACGATCTGGGTATCGACGAATGGGACTCGGAGGGGCCGAGGCGGGACAAAGTGGGTTGGAGGATGAAGAATGTGGATCCAATGAGGATACCCACAAGAATGAAGAGGAGTCTCTGTTCTTTGAAGAGGTAGTGGATGGATCTTGGTAGAGATCTGGGGTGTTTTAAGGATTTGGGTGAATACGGAGAGGTTTGGCTTGTGGGGATCTCTTCGTCTCGTCGGTGGCTTATAGTAGATTGTTTGTGCAATTTCATGGTTCTTTTGAGAATTGAATTAAATTGAATTGAATTTCAAGGGTTCACAAGAGAGAGATTAAATTCAGGTACTAAACAATAACTAACGTGAAAGATTAAATTGAATTGAGAAAGAACTGTGTTGAGAAATAATGGGAGTTCTATAACATTTTGGGTTGTGTTCTTGCGAACTGTGTGGTGCTAGCTATGTGTTGTGCGTGTAAAGGGAAGTGAAGTACATTCTGAAACTATTTCATTCCATTTCACAGAGAGAGAGAGAGAGAGAGAGAGATGGAGGGAGATGCAGGAGAGTCCGTTTCTCGCTTGCTTGTAAATGTAATTGGTACTATATAATAATTCACTATTTGGATGGAGTAAAATGGAAGTGTAGCTTTTGGAACCTCTCAAAGTCTTCAATAAATAAAAGTTCAACATTTATCATAAATATTTTAGGCACACCAAATATTCATTAGGATTGATTAAATTACCATTTGTGATTGCAAGTTGGTGTTGGAAATTTTTATATATAAATAATAAAAATTATTTTATGATCCCAAGCACCAAGTTTTTTAAAAAATAGATTATAATGTGATTATTGATATTTGATGGATTGGGTTGTTCTTTCCAATTGGATGATCAATTTGGGAATATGATTTTATACCATTGGATTGTGATTTTTCAACTTATTTGGTATGATTCAATTCTAACAATTAATATCTAAGCTTTCATGAATCAGTACAAGACTAAATTTTCTCTTTAGTTAATTGAAGTGTTCTTGATTTCTACATGAATTATTGATTAAAATCCAACAATTGGTTGCTCCCTCGCGTCCGATGTCATGTTCGAGTCTTTCAACATTCCTTTTTACCATTAATTCTTAATAATTTTGTCATTAAAAAAATAAAAATGAACAATGCTCGAGTTCAACTTTATCCAACCGGCTGATGTAGCTCAATAGATCTAAAACGAGAGAAGTTGAGGAAACCACGTATTTTGGGCTTCAACTTCGGCTACAAAAGGCGGTTCGAGAAGCTCAAAAAGAAGGAAACGGATGAGTTATACCCCCTTATTGACAGAGAAGGGGGAGAAAGACCCACGGATGACTCAGCTGACAGGGAGAAAATGAGTTAGAGAATTGAGAAGAGTAAAAGTGTCAAAAAAAACAAAAGTTAAGATTTAAAACATATGTTAAAAAGTAAAAGTTAAGCAATGCCCAATTTAATTTTAATACTTGTTGTAATTTTATTGGACTACATTAGTAAATTGGATGAAATTCATCCAACTTAAATTGGACAAAACATTATTCAAAAAATATATATCATCCTTAATTATTTATCCAAAATATTCGATGTGAATCCGAAACCAGCGAGACATTATTTGTAGGTGACGTATAGATGACATGCAACAAAACATCAAGTAATATCACCATGTGACACATTAAAATTGAGTAATTTCATATGGGAAACTTTGTGATTGTAAAACTAAGTGTGTGATGTGTGTGTGTGCGCGCGCGCGCGCGAGTGAGAGTGAGAGTGAGAGTGAGAGAGAGAGAGAGAGAGAGAGAGAGAGAGAGACTAGAGAAGATAGCATTGACTTCATCTCAAAGCGACTAATGTAATAATTAAGGACCCCTCTGAGGAAAGGGCTCTCAATAATAATTTTTAATGCAGACCCCATTATGCTAATAATTGTACCAAACTCTTACTTAAACCATACCTTTTTCTTAGTATAGGCCATTGGGCACCTATACACGTCAAAGACTTCTGCATCCAATTTCAATTTAGGTTTTTCTCCGCATTAAAAAAAAAAAAAAAAAAAAAAAGCAGTAATAAAATTCCCTAACCCAAAATATTACCTTTTCCTCTAAACTCTGGGTTCAATTACTTATTAGAGAAATTACATTTACTTTTTCTTAAAAGTTTTACTATCGACATCTCCTTTGACAATGACCACTTTTGAAGCAATGTTAGGGAGAATGACTTTTAAAGTGATTACGAGACCGATCAACATAGTCTATTATCTTGCATCACAAGATTGATTTCAGTTAAAGGAACATTATTAATAAAGAAGGTAAGTGCAATTTTTAGAACCATACATGAATTTATATACTTTTATGAAAATTTATGTTATGTTTTGAAGTATGAAACAATGCCTTAGAATTGAAATTAGAAATTAGTCTTAAAGTTTTAACTAATTTTTCTCTTATTTCAATTTTAGAGTGTTGATTTAGTGCTTTGAAAGCAACATTGAAAGATAAGATAAAAATATACTACACGTGTATATATATATATATATATATATATACACACATATATATTCATTAACTTTCAAATGAAATACAACTCACTTCAGTGGACGAGGGTGATCGATGGATCATTACCTATGTAATAGTGGTTAATTGAGGGCACTGATTATTATTAATTTGAAAGAAGTGATTGTTTTAAGATTAGTATACACGTTCTTATGGTGAGTAGCCTAAACATTTGTAGTTGTACCAAACATTGACTCTTTTTAATATACAAGATTCCCTTTCTATTGTTTTTTATTTATTTATTTTTTCGAATCTCTACCAAATGATACACAAAATAAACTAATGAAGTGGCATTATGTGTATAGTCCAATAAAAAAAAAAAAAAAAAACTCGTATATTATTGAATGATAGGATTGGGATTAACTATTACATTAGACTTGGAAGTTTATTTTAAATTTATTTGGTTGTGTATCATGGCCTTTGTATATTAAATATACCTAAGACCACACACTCCAGCCCATTATCTGATTTATTATGAATATGGGCCGTTCAATGGCCCAAATTGGGCCGAATTTGTTGTTGATTTAATTTGATCACTTTGGGCCAGCCCATATTCCAAGCATAGTAATAGCGTTCATATTACCAAGCTATCAAGCTCTTTAATTTATGCGGATCTACTTAAACCAAGTCCTAGTCCAATCTCACACTTTTATTTTTTATACGTGGATTGGGTCAAAATTAACCACTTTAATTTATGCGGACCTACTTAAACCAAGTCCTAGTCCAATCTCACACTTTTATTTTTTATACGTGGATTGGGTCAAAATTAACCACTTTCAACCCCAATTTAATTTCGGTTGCTCTTGAGATCTAACCAAGCCTGATAAAAATAGTTGGAGTCTAATTCAATAACCAAATCAATCCAAAACGTAACACTACAAAAATCATCTTAACTTTTAGAAAAAATTAAAATTTTTTGATCAAGTTGAGCTCGTCAGGTTGAACTCGTTCAATTTATATTGTTGACCCTTCAACTATCCAATTAAAACCCTAATCTTACCGAGTTGATGCTTGAATCTATCACCATAGGTAATCTAAAGTCACCAACCGATGTGTGGTAACTTCATTCCCTCATCACATATCACCATAAAGTCCTTTCGTCATCCAAGGTTTTTACTTTTTAAAAAGAATACACCCATCACCTCTCTCTCTCTCTCTCTCTCTCTCTATATATATATATATATGTATTTCATATATTTAGTAGATGATAAACATATCTGATTTGTGTTCTGAGTCTTCTGACTAGTTATTTGATATGTAAGGACTAGGGTAGGTGGGCAAGTAAAAAATAAAAAATAAAAATAAAAAATCGACCACAGTGGGAGTCGAACCCACGACCTTCTGATCCGAAGTCAGACGCGCTAATCCACTGCGCTATGCGGTCCAATTGACACTTCTTCTGTTGGTTTTATATAAATTATATGTTTAGAATGGCGACTCCAAATCATATAAATTTTCATTCATGAGGTCCTAATTTCATATTTCATTTCATAGAAACATAAATTATGGAGTGACATGTTCAACAATTTTAAATTTTAAGCTTTAGCTAAAATTTCATCAAAAAAGTTTTTTTTTTAAGGGGTAAATGTTAGGGATTAGTTGGTGCCAAGACTCGAACCCATGCGCTTCAATAGCCAACAGGAGGCATCTTACCAGATAGACTAGAAGACATTGGCAAAAAAAAAAAAAGTGTACTGTAACTTGGACAGTTTGAAAATGATGAAGGATTAATTTTAGATTTAAAATAGAGTGAAATTATCGACTTATATTTATTTCAACTTAACCTACCTCGAGTGTAACTTGTTATTATTAATAAAATTAGAATTGGCGTCTCACTTGTACAGAAATAAAGAATTGGAAGTCCTTCCACGAACTATTTCGACCAAATTCATGTATGTATTTAGTACGGTTCTATATTTAAACTATAATTTCAATTTTCAACCGAGGGAATCACCTTCTTAGCTATAGGATCTGATATGCAATAACTTGTTAAAATTACAGCCAAAAAAAATCGATTGATAAGGACCACCAGAAAATATCCATTTAAAGTCAAATCGGCAGTTTGGAGTTTTCATTCAACCACACATATATCAATCATATCACCATCCATGAATCACAAAGTTGAATTACAAGTACTTAATTTGAACTAAGTGTACGGTCACGAAGATGCTGTGTTTTTTTTCAAAGAAATGACTGCAACCTTGGCCATGGAAGATATTTTATCATATTTAAGGAGAGAGGATTAATCAGCTGCAAATCGGGGGCCACGTAAGTAATTGGGCAATTAATTTCGTTGAAGCCCTCATTAATTGCTTGATTTGCTTACACATAAATACACACACACACACACACACATATATATATATATATAGCATAAAGTATAATTCTAAGTACCAAAGTTAATTCACGTGTACAGAGTTGAAGAGTTTTTTTCAACAAAAAATGAACACAAGAATCAATAATCAAGTTGAGCAAACAAACTTTTATTTTTCAAGAGTTAGAATTGAGAGAAAATGAAACAGTTCAATTTATAATCTCTTGCATCTGTCACATCACATTCATGCCTTTTTTTTTTTTATTTATTTCAAATAATTAACACCTCATTCATACAAATTCACACTTCTTTATTTACTTATTTTTTGTTTTATTATTATTATTTATTTTATTGGGTCACCATTATAGTTTTAAGTGTCAAATGTGATCATGTAATGGTGTCATGTAATTGTAAATGTGATCACGTTCGGATTTGACTCAGACTTATTCACTAAATAAAGAGATTGAGTTTTAAATTTGAGCCTAGTAAATAATTTAATCTTAAATATTATTAGACTCGGCTCATTTAAACTAATAAACAAGGCATTCCTGATTTTCTTATTTGTTTATATAATTTTTTTTAAGTTTACAGTATCAAAATTCTCATAGGAAATATATAAAATAAGCTTTCTGTTTTTCCAACATTATTCAATAAAAATCTTTGAAAAACAAATACGTAGTATGATGATATGTGACATGTGGTAATGTGAAACGTTTA